GATGAAAAAGATGAAGATTATCTACTAACCATTTCTCTCTCAACTCGGCATATATAGCCCACGAACACTACAAATTAACTCTCTCCCACATAAACCCTCCTGCCTCTGCCAGCCTCTCACCATGCTCAGACAGCGCAAACCAGAAGACATAGAAGCCCCATTCCCTTGGGCTGCACCGAAACGTGCCACAGTCCGCAGCCTTGAATATCTCCATTCCAATCGCATCGGCACGATCAGCGGCCTTGTTCAATGCCAGAAGTGTGACGAAAGCTATGAGATTTATTACGATTTGAGGCAGAAGTTCACAGAGATTGCGATTTACATTTCGGAACACAAAAGTGCCATGCATGACAGAGCACCAACCGTTTGGATGAATCCCGCATTGCCTGATTGCAAGCATTGTGATCAGAGTAATTGCATGAAGCCTGTGATTTCCAAGAAACGGTCCATCAATTGGTTATTCTTGTTTTTGGGTCAAATGCTTGGGTGCTGTCAGACTTCTGAGTTGAAGTATTTCTGCAAGCACACCAAGAATCATAGGACTGGTGCTAAAGATAGAGTCTTGTATATTACTTATTTAGGCATCTACAAACAGCTTGCTCCCCATTGGACCCTTTGATATATTTAGATTATGGGGCGCTATTAATTTACCTTAGTTGAGTTTTTCATGGGTCTTTTTTGAATTATTTCACGGGTTTCCTTTTAATTTTCAAAGATTATATGTAAAATAAGGTTTTGTGTTGCTTAGTTTTGTTTCGTATGCAAATATTGTTTTTCCACATTTTACTTGATCTTATTGTCAAAGTCAAAATCCTTAATGTTTTCTAATATCTCATCTGCTACATTTGAATAAAATTCAAATATCGATCGCTAACATATATGTGCATTGGATTTGATCAAAAGAAAAGTGACAACCTCACATTGGATTTTGGATTTGACCCAAAAGAAATACAGTTTTTACTAATGAAATATCATCTCTATATAAGGGTAGGAGATTGTTTTTCACTTTGATGGATGCGAAAAGAGAAATCTAACTTGTTATATTTACCTACAGACACTTGAATTTTGGGAGGTTTAACATTCAAAATGAAGGGTTTAACATTAGTTATGAATACAATTATCGCTCACTCAAGGGTCATGTACTAGAGATTGGTTTTCACTTTTCATTCATAAAACCCAAAAAACAAAAACATGAATATCAAGAGGGCAACTTACCATTCTGTGTTTTGAACACCAACTAGATGGGCCTAATTTGGCTAATTTTGAAATATTTTTGTAGTTAAATTATGTAATATTGTAGTAGTGATAAATCTTAAATACAAGATATCTCACAAAAGCTGCTAACCATATCTCACTGCCTTATCTAAATAAACTTCCTATTGACTATGACTGATTCAAATCTAATGTAATCCAATCCATATAAGCCAACAACATTGTTTTAATTAGTTATCAATCCTAATGCTGCGTGCCCACACAAACCTGGCGATGATATTGGCAACTTATTTCACTTGCAACAGCTTTTGATACAGATCAACAAAGGCCAATTAGAGTTGGGTCCTAAACTTGTTTGCATACAGATCAACAAATGCATCAACCACTTTCTGAAGTTGCAATAAACCAAAATCAAATTTTACTCTCTCATCAGAATATTT